TTACTGAATATCCGGCTTTTCAGAGACCAGCTTCTTTTCTGTCCAGACCTCACTGCTGCCCACAGCACAGGGGTTAGGGCCTCGAGCTGGAAGCTCTCCTCCATTAACTAGTCATTTTCAATATGACTGAGCCTCAGTTTCTCTATCTTTAGTTTTTGTTTTAAATATTTATTCATTTTTAAGAGGGACAGAGACAGAGACACAGCACGAGTAGGACAGAGGCAGAGAAAGAAGCCACAGAATCCAAAACAGGCTCCAGGCTCACAAAACCAAGCTCTGATGTGGGGCTTGAACCCATGAACTGTGAGATCATGACCTGAGCTGAAGTCGGACCCTTAACCGACTGAGCCACCCGGGTGCCCCTCCCTATCTTTAACACAGGGTAAAGTATCAAAATCTGACTCTTAACAGATAAAATGAAAGCAGTGTATTTAACACTGCTTTGGGTTCACTGATATCAGCCTGGATTAACAAATGTGAAGGAGGACTTTCATTTCTGGTTTCAAATTTCCAACTAGGAGCAACATGGCCAACGATGGCTGGCTCTGCAAATTACTCTGACAGGGCACTAATTATGGAATCAGCATGAGGGAACAGGACAGCAAGGAGCCCAGCGGCCACACGGGACGCACACTGGGGGACACTCCCTTCCACTCTCCACTCCCCCACACGTTCAGTCCTGCAACCCAGTCTACCTCCACCACCATGAATCGGTCTTGTTTCAAAAACTATTTAACCAGACCCACAGAATGTTAGAGCTGGAGAAACCTTTGGCTGCCCCAGCATATAGATGAGGACAGTGCAGTTGTGACGACCTAGTACACGGATGAAGACGGACGCTCACATAACCTCAGGGAATTGCTAGGAAGGAAGGTAAGTTCACGACAGAGCTAAGACCTGAACAAACCAGAGTTTGACCGTGTTACAAGGTCTCCAGGTAGCTGTGCTCCTGAGTAGCTACACATAAAAATATTCTTATACTCACTTATATAGTATCAAATTTTAAGTTATCATCTACAGTATAGAACCACAGAGTTAGAGCCTTTAAAAATCAGAGGCTTTAAAAATCATTTAACATTTTCATTTTACAGATAAGACTAAGTCTCCAAAACACTAGTGTCGTTATTCACCGGGTTTGGAACATGTGTCCATGTGTCTCAGAAGCAGAGTCACCACTCCCTGCACTAAGACATGGGCCTTCAGTGTGAAATAGTCTTCAATCACGGCAAGGGGAGGGATACGTCCTAGTCCTCAATCTCCGTGATGTAGTCATATGTATGCCACGTGAAAAACGGAAAGGGAACAGCGGGCTGGAAAGGAAGGAAGCTCCTCCTACATGAACGGCAGTGCCGCTGCCGATGATTTCCCGGACAGAACACAATGGAAACAGAGTGCAGCAGACATGGTATAAGCCAGACAGGAGACTCGGATGTTCCAGGCCCTACCTCCCTCCCGTAAACATTAAAATACCCCCACACACTACCAAGACTGAATCGTTAGGAAATAAATCTGAATAATCTCTAATTAACAGGTTGATTGAATCAGTAATCAAAACCTCCTCCCAACAAAGAAAAGCCCAGCCCAGTGTCTCCAATGGATTCTACCAAACATTTAAAAAAGAATTAAGCCAATCCTTTCCAAATTCTTCCAAAAAAATTGAAGAAGAAACACTTTTGCTAGAGATTGCTTGTGTCCTCCTAAAATTCATATGTTGAAATCTTAACATCCAAAGTAATTGTATTGAAAGTTGGGGCCTTTGAAAAGTGATTAGGTCATGACAGTGGAGACCTCGTGAATGGAATTCTTGCCCTTACACAAGAGAACCCACGGAACTCCCTCATTCTTCTACCACATAGGGACCTAACAAGAAGGTCAGGGGTATGAACCAGGAAGACACTGAATCTTCTGGCACCTTGATCTCAGATTCTCCACTCACAAGAACTGTGAAATATAAATTTCTATTGTTTATAAACCACCAGTTGATGGTATTTTTGTTGTAGAAGCTTGAACTAAGACAATTTCCTAACTCATTCTATGCAGCTAGCAATACTCTGATATCAAAGTCAGGCAAAGAAAAACAGTAACAACAAAACTACAGACCAATTATTTCTCACGAAACCAAAATTCAAAAATATATTAGGAGAACTCACAAAACCAAGTAGGATTAACTCCTGAGATGCAAATATGGTTTAACATATGAAAATCAAACAATGACATAAACCACACTAACAAATTGGGATAAAAAAAAAATGATTACCTCAACTGATGCAAAAAAAAAAAAGGTTCTGACAAAATAAAACACTCCTTCATGATAAAAGTACTCAACAAACTAAGAATAGAAGAAAACTTTCTAACATAATTAAGGCCATATATCAAAAATGCATGGTAACCATCAAATTCACAGGTAAAAATGTGAAAGCTTTTCCTCTAAGCTCAGGAACAAGGCAAGGATCCCCACTCTTTGTGCTTTTATTCAACATAGTAATGGAAGTGCTAGCCAGAGGAATCGGACAAGAAAAAGGAATAAAAGGTATCCAAATAAAAGAGGAAGAAATAAAATTATCTTTGTTCACAGATGACATATTACATGCAGAAAACCCTAAATATTCCATGCCAAAAAAGAAATTTTAGAATAAACAAACTCAGCAATGTTACAAAAATAAACTCTCATCACATATATGGTAAAATATCAGACAATGGTGCCATGACCATTCAATGGGGAAAGGGTTCTTTTCAACAACGATGTTGGAAAACCAGATATCTGCATGCAGAAATTAGACTCTTACCTTATACCATTTACAAATTGACTCAAAGTGGATCAAAGGTTCGAACCTAAGAACTAATTAAACTATGGAACTTTTAGAAAAAAACCCGAAGGGAAAGCTTCACTACATTTGATTTGGCACTGATTTCTTAGATATGACACCAAAATCAAGGCAACAAAAAAAGAGGTAAGCTGGGTTTTATCAAAATTAAAAATATCTGTGCCTAGGTGGCTCAGTCAGTTAAGTGTTTGACTTTGGATTTCAGCTCAGGTCATAATCTCATGGTTCATGAGATCAAGCCTGTGCTGTCGGCACAGATTCTCCCTCTCTCTCTCTCTCTTCCCCCTCTACCCTACTCTCTCAAAAGAAACATTAAAGAAAATACATATTTGTGCATCAGTGGATACAATAAAGAATAGTAAGTTAACTTGTGGAATGGCAGAACGTATCTGCGTATCATATATCTAATAAGAGACCAATATCAAAAATATAGAGCCCCTACATTCAGCAAGAAAAAAACAAAAGACCCCATTAAAAAAGTCACAGGACTGAACACACATTTCTCCTAAAAACATGACCAACTAGTAAATGAAAATATGCTCAACACTGGTAACTGAGAATTGATAGGGAAATGCAAATCAAAACCACGAGATACTACTTCATACCCATTAGGGTGGCTATTATCAAAAACACACAAAAAAAGTTAGAGAATAAACAAGTTTTGGTGAGGACATAGAATAATTAGAATCTCTGTGCATAGCTGGTAGAAATGCAAAATGGTGCAGCCACCATGGAAAACAGTATGGTAGTTTCTCCAAAAACTAAACCTAGATTACATTATCCAGCAATTCCACGTCTGGACTTTCAGAATAAGTGAATGCAGGCACTCCTATGGAGATCTGTATACATGTGTTCATAGCAATGTTGTGCAAAAGAGCCTCAATGTGAAGCAACCTAAGTGTCCACTGATGGATGGACAGACAAAATGTGATATAAGCATATAGGAGAATGTTATTCAGCCTTAATGAAAAAAACTTGACACTGAAAATACCGTGCTAAAAGCCAGTCACAAAGGAACAAGTATTGTAGGATTCAACTTACATGAAGTCCCATAGAGGCGTCAACTTCATAGAGACAGAAAGTAGATGGTGGTTGTCAGGGGCTGGGTACTGTCACTGGGGGCAGAGTTACAGTCTGGGAAAAGGAAACAGCTCTGGAGACAGACGGTGATGATGTCAGCACAACAGTGCGAATGTACGACATGTCACTGAATTTGTAACTTATAGTTAGAATGGTAGCTTTTGTTATGTACGATTCTCCACCATTAAAAAAAAAAAATTCCAACATCTGAGACGCTTAGTGGCTCAGCTGGTTAAGCGTCCAACTCTTGATCTCAGCTTAGGACATGCTGTCACGGTCCATGAGTTCAAGCCTCACATCAGGCTCTGTGCTGACAGTGTGGAGCCCTCTTGGGATTCTCTCTCTCTGTCCCTCCTTGCCTCTCTCTCTCTCAAAATAAATATTTTTTAAAAATTGCAACATCTATATATTTCAAAATGTTACACTGTGAACAAGCCTCTCTTTCATTTGGAGATTTCCTGCAGGGCTCCATTGGCCCTAGTTCATGTGCAATCTTAAATAGATCTTGACATGGTGCCTGGCTTGAACTGAATCCACGGCCCTGAGACAAAAGGCTCAACGGTTATAAAAAGAATAAGCAAAGAACAATCCTTGGATACCTGTTATGCGAAGGACGGCGTATTTTGTAGTAAGAGTGTACAAATAAAGAAGAGAAAGGGTTAGCGATACCTTCCCTAAAACATGGGGAGTGCCAGGTAGGACTGTCCATGCTCCAGGTGCTGAAGGCCAGAGAACTCGGTGCTCTGCTTTGAGATGCACCAAAGAGTGCTATGGTAAGAACAGCTTTTCAAAGGTTTGTCAAAGCATCGCAAATATATTGCATATTTTTAAGATAACAATTATAAAGCTGTGATAGTCTTACTGTCTATAAAACAACTTCCACCTGCTGATAAATACGTACTCCATTGAAGTGTTATGAAAACATCCAGAGGAAATGCTGCAGAGGAGAGAGTACCAATTAGGAACACACCATCAAAACATTTCTAACTTAAAGTTTTCTTGCATTTCCAGTTAACAGGTTGCTATGGCAACCCAGTCATCTGGAGATACTTGAGGTTAGATTAAAACACCATACTGTTCAAGGTCAACATTTTCACTTTTATTAATTAACTCTTAACAAAAAGATGACAATTATTTGAGATTTGTTCATTTTTTTAAAAGATACTATTAGCAGGTGTTGTTCATAGGTAAACAGTCTTCCAGACCAATGAGATCAGAAAGAATAAACGACAAACGGCCACCCCCAAACTCTCATCACCCTAAACAGCTCTCACCCGCCCCCTGGGCGCGGGTTGGATGGGGGTCGGGTGAGAGCAGAGGGGGTGGGAAAAGTAACAACAAACATTAAAAAGCAAACTCAGCAAGAGGACGCGTCACTGGCGAACACCGGAACACCGGAGTGCGGGTGAAGGAACTGCTCTCTTTCGGAAGCCTTCAAGGGAGCAGGCAATCCGGAGGGCACCTGAGTCCAAGGAGGCAAGGAGACCCGTGAGGTGGACCTTGTGGGGACTCGCTGCACTTCTCAAGGTCCTTCGGCGGCGCTCAGGAGACGGGGGGACCTTTGGGGCAGAGGGTCACAAGCCCCACAGGAGCGTACCTGTGGCACCGCACGGGAGACGCAGCAAGGGAGCAAGCCTGGGACCTTCTGAGGCATCTGACACTTTGTCACAGGGGCGTGTCGCCAGGGCCCCAGGCAGCAGATCACATACCAGGTTGCAGGGCTGGGCCAGGCTGGGAGGCAATGGGGCCCAACTGTCCCAGCCTGTCCGCTCCCCTGGGACGTGGGGACATTGTAGGACCCACGCGCTCCCAGCCACCTCCAAAAGGACAGGGGTGAAGGTGCCGTGGGGGCGCACCTGAGTGTCCAGGTGAGGAACGGACGGTTTTTTAGAACCACAGCAGCATCGGAGCCGAGAGCTCCAGCGCTGCCCGCAGGCTCGGTTCCCAAGAGGAAGATGCTCCGACACGTGGCGGTCTCCAGGCGCACGAATCTGTAACTGTCACAGGTGGACCCATGTCCGGGGACCAGGAGCAGATCCAGATGGTGTGGGCCAGCAGGACCACGTCCCTGTCACCTGACACAGCTCTGTCCTCGCCCGAAGTGGTCCAACAGAGCCCCTGCCCCAGCCGCGTCCTTCACGTGACCCCAGGCCCCTCCACCGAGCTCAGCGCAGAGATGGAGTGGGGCTGTGCGGCTCACCAGCAGGCCCGGAGCTCGCTCACACCATCTCTGTCCCTTTCTCAGCGTGAGTGTACCCGCGGGGCCACACTCGCTGCAAACGACGGCAGAAAGTCAGCACAGCTCTGCATCCGGGTACATCTCAGCACCTTCTATTTCTAATTTACGATAAACTTAGGCAAATCAGCTCTTCGGAGACGAAAACATGCCTCCCCTAGTTTTTTCACTGTGGGAGCAGAGCAAGGAGGTATACCCATCCTGCAAGATCCCCTGGGTGTGTGCTTTACACACATGAGCTTGCACAATCCTGCTGTCACACCTTCTCCAGCACAAGTCCCACTTCCAGAACATTCCTTCCCTCGGGGCTCCCGTCCTTTCCAAAATGGGTCTGTCCAGGGTTGCAGGGTGTCCAGGACGGCCACACAAGTTGGTACCGCGGTGAGTGCTAAGATCGTCATGGGAATAATATGGTCTTTCTCACAAAACGGACCCTAAATCCACTGGGTCATTGTCACTGGAAGGATTTGGTAAGTTTACAAAATCTGAACAAGGAATTGGGAACTGGAATCTGCAGACGTCAGTCTGCTGCACATCACACTCTGAGAACTGAAAGGTTAGCTATCTATCTCCCCAGATAACACATCTGGGTCATAACTGTGTGTCCAGTGACTCCTGGGAAGAAACTGAGCACGACGGCCCCAAATATCATGGCAGCAGCTACAATTGGCTTGTTTCTTTAGGCAAAGCCATAGATCCTCAGTTATTTACACTATAATCGGTAATAATACGATTTAACTAGTTAATGCCTAAAACCACTAAGTGTCTATTACCTATGCATTGACTAATAACCCTGGTTTAAAAATTGTAGACTGACAAAAATCTGAAATTTCACTAAGATAATCTGAAAGATGACAAAATCAGTATGAAGATAAACAGATAATAGTTTAAATATGTATTTGCTTTTGTCGCTAACCTTCCAACTCCTTTTTCTAAAAACTTTTTTAATATTTATTTTTGAGAGAGACAGAGAGAGAGAGAGAACGAGCAGGGAAGGGTCAGAGAGAGAGATTCTCCATGCTGAGTGTGGGGCCCACGACCCAGGGATCATGACCCGAGCAGAGACACCCTGGCGCCCCGAGGACGGACAGTCTTCATCCACAGTTCTGGCAGCATGTTTACTTCTCTGAGGACAGGGGTGCCTGGAGGAAAACAGATTTTTAATTTTTCTATGATTTTTTATTATATATAATTTCATATACTTAATCTGGGAAATAATAGACAAGCTTCACTTGACACTGAACAAAATGTGCACTCTGTTCTTAATACAAAATCTAAAATGAGCCAAGCCATCCATTCAGCTTCTGTGCAGATAAACTGGATTTGCAGATAAAAGATAGCAGGCTATGGATAGCAATCAGTCCCACAATAAAGTGAGAAAGGTATCCCGGAGCTTCCAGGTGTCTTCATGATGGAGATAAATGACTCCTTAAGAAATAACACAAGAGGGGAGCCTGGGTGGGTCAGTCAGTTAAGCATCTGACTTCAGCTCAGGTCATGATCTCACGGTTTATGGGTTCAAGCCCCATGTCGGGCTCTGTGCTGACAGCCAGCTCAGAGCCTGGAGCCTGCTTCAGTTTCTGTGTTTCCCTCTCTCTGACCCTCCCCTGCTCATGCTATCTCTCTCTTAGAAATAAAAAAAACATTAAAAAATTTTTTTGAAAAAAAATAACAGAAGATAAAATTAAACTATAAAGAAGGGAAGAAAGGACAATGGCTGCCTTCAGTTTAGAATATATGTAAATGTACATACGCTTAAGAAATAGGACACTCAAGATACCTTGCCAGAAAAAACAAAACACAACATTAAACAGCTTTATAACTTAAGTTTCCAAACTAAAATTAAATATTATAACATGTCTGACCAAAAAACTGATTTTATGGAAAAGTCATTTAACAAAGTCATTTCCGTTAAACAGCACTCTAGTGACTGGGAACTAAGTTCTAGAGACACAAGTACTGCGAGGCAAAGGCCACACCTTCTCACTCGTGGGGACAGTGACGCCTGCCACAGCTGTTCAGGCTCCAGAAGAGGGATCCCTCCCCATCTCCAGCAGCACCTACATATCTGAGGATGACTCGTGACTGGGGGAGGGACGGGACGGGGAAGGGAAAGGAGGCAGATGACAACGGCAAAGCGTCGTGAAGAAATGGGCCTGCTGCCGTCTGCAGGACTCAGGACGTCATCAGCAGGACTGCACCCGGGCCTCTGGACGTGCCCACTTGAGGATGCCACGCCAGGCCCAGAGGCCCCAGAGCCCCAGGCGCCTAGCCCACAACTCCTCCTACTCCGCCGCCAGCTCCCTGTGCACACCCAAGTGCATCGGCCAGAGCCAGCTTGTCAAAGGAGAAACCACACTTGAGCTACAGAGCCACCTTCCAAGAGAGCAAGGTTTCTAATGGCCACACTGTTGAACTGTACAATCCAAAGTCAATAGAAAACACTACTTTAGGAAGGTGACTGCTGCTTCAAAGGCTGAAGCACAAGTGCGTGTCTCTGAATGCAATGGACAATCACAGACACAAGGTTTCACAGAAAGACAGTAATCCTCCAGCAACTTAATTCAATGGTACGGAAAACTGTATCCTAATAAAGAATTGAGAACAGTGGTCATGAAGAAATTCAACAAGCTGCAAGAAAACTCAGAAAGGCAATTCAGTGAACTCAGGAACAAAATTAATGAATAGCGCACTTCTTTACCAAAGAGATTAAAATTACGAGGAAGAACCAAACAAATTCTGGAATTGAAGAATTCAGTGAATGAGGTGAGAAAGGAAGCAGCACTCCAGACTCCAGATGGAAGAAAGAATAAGGTACTTGCAGGATGGGAATATAGATACAGTTCAGTTCAATGAGGAAAACTAAGATTGTAAAATAGTGTAGAAACCTTGCAAGACCCATCACTTTCAATCAAAAACGTCAGAAAGACAAATGTAAGAGTAATGGGTATACCAGAAGGACAAGAGGAGAAGGGGATAGTCTACTTAAAGAAATAATAGCTTGGAACTTTCCAAACCTGAGAAAAAAATTGGTACAGGTCCACAAAACTACTGGAACACCCTATTTTTTAAAATTTTTTAACATTTATTTATATTTGAGAGAGAAAGAGAGTGCGCACGCACAAGCTGGGGAAGGACAGAGTGAGACAGGGAGATAAAGAATCCCAAAACACGCTCCAGGCTCCAAACTGTCAGTACATATCCTGATGCAGGGGCTTGAACCCACGAACCACGACCTGAGCCGAAGTCAGACGTTCAATGAACTGAGCCACCCAGGTGCCCCTCAATGATACAGAACCTTAGAGACAGCCAGGGAACATAACCTTATAGGGACTCTGTTAGGCTCTCAGTAGATTTCTCAGCAGAAGTTCTGTGGGCCAGGAGAGAGTGGAATGACATATTCAAAGTGCTGAAAGATCAAAATGCCCAGCTAAATATACTTGACGTGGCAAAACCACTTTCAGATACAACACAAAAATAAAGGCTTTCCCAGATACATAAAAGCTGAGGAAGGTTACCACCAGGAGACGTGACTTACAAGAAATGCTAACAGGAGTTCTTCAAGTGAAAATGAAAAGGTGCTAATTGGTGACACAAAAACAGGACAGTGCACTGCACTGGGATAGGTGTAACGTAAACAGCCAGAATAAGAAAACTAACTCTGTATTAGAACAGCACTGAAGCCACTTAAATGCAGTAAAAATGCTCTATTCCTTTAAAGAGTATTTAAAAACTACAGCTACTATAATTTAATAAATTCATAGCATAAAACAGGTAAACTGTGACATTAAAGACATAAAAGAGGAGGAGTAAAAGGGTGGAGCCTTCACAGGGGAATGAAGATAAGCTGCTTTCAGCATAAAAGAACTTTCATCTATGAGATGTTTTACATAAACCTCATGGTAACCACAAGGCAAAAATCTAGATTCACAAACCAAAGGGAGCACTGAACACGTAACCATGGAAAACACCCAGAAGGAAAACAGTAAGATGCCATTTCCAAGTCCTTAAAGGTCAGTAATCGCTCCAATGTAAGTGGACTGAATTATCCAATCAAAAGACACAGAGTGCCTCAATGGATAAAAATACCAAACCCCAACTATACGCTGCCAAGAGAGACTTGTTTCAGCTCCCCACACGAATATGCTCAAAGTGAAGAGATGGAAGAAGATTTTCTGTGCAAGTGGAAATCTAAAACAGCGAAGGTAGCCATACTTATGTCAGACAAAACAGCTTGCAAGCCAAAAACAGTAACAGGAGACAAAAAAGGCTGCTATATTATGATAAAGGGTCAATAAATCAACAAGATAAAACTATCATAAACATATACATACCCACCACTGGGACACGTAAGTACATTAAGCAAAAACTCACAGATATGAAGGGAGAAATAGACAATAATACAAAAATAGGAGAGAACTGCAATACTCTACTGTCAGTAATGGATAGATGATCCAGACAGAAAATCAACAGAACAAATACTGGAAATGAACCACACTTTAGACCAAATGACTTAACTCATACAGATACAGCATTCCATCCAATAACAGCAGAATACACGTTCTTCTCACACACACATGGAACATTCTCTGGGATAGATTATTACAGGACACAAAACAGATGTTAGCAAACTTAAGGACACTGAAACCATATCAAGGATTTATTTTTTTAACCACAATGGTATAAAGTAAAAACCAACAAGGGAAAAGGTAGAAATTCTACAAATATGTGTAAACTAAACAACACTTCTGAACAACCAATGGGTCAAAGGAAAAATCAAAAGGAAAATAAAAAATTAGCTTGAAACAAAGGAAAGTAGAAATATATCAAATCCTATGGGATGCTGCAAAAGCGCTTCCGAGGAAAGTTTAGTGTCAAATGTATGTATTAATTAGAAAGATCTCAAATAAACACCTAATTTTACAACTCAAGGAACTAGAAAAATTAGAACAAATTAAGTACAAAGTTAGCAGAAAGAAGACAATAATGATCACAGCAGAAATAAGTGAAACAGAGTCTAGAAAAACAATGGAAAGGATCAATGAAATTAAGAGCTGATTTTTCAAAAAGATACATAAAATTGACAAACCTTTTGCTAGACTAATTAAAAAAGAGAGAAGACTCAAATAAATAAATTAGGAATCAACTGACACTCTACAAATACAAAGGATATTAAGAGACTACTGTAAACAATTATACGCCAATAAATATAACCTACAAGAAATGGACGAATTTCTAGTAACACAATGTGCACAAAGACTGAATAAGGAAGAAGTAGAAAATCTGAACAGACCAATAACTAGTAAAGTTATTGAATCAGTAATCAAAAACCTAACACAGAAAACTCCAGAACCAGGTGGCTTCACTGATGAATTCTACCAAACAATTAAGATTTAACACCAAATCTTCTCAAACTATCCCAAAAAATTAAAGAGCAGGAAACACCTCCAAATTCATTCAATGAGGCCAAAGTTACCAGGTAACCAAAGCCAGAAAAGAACACTACAAGAAAGTAAAATTATAGACCAATATCCATGATGAATATAGTAGCAAACACTGTCAACCAAATATTGACAAACCAAATTCAAGAACACATTAAAAAACATAAAGATGATTATACACCATGGCCAAGTGGGATTTATTCCTGGGATGCAAGGATGGTTCAAACATACACAAATTGAAAAATGTAATACAGCACATCAACAGAATGAAAGATTTTAAAAATCACATAACCATCACAATAGATGAAGACAAGGCATTTGACAAAATGCAACATCTTTTCATAAAACCCTCCACAGATTGGGTACAAAAGAAACACAATATATTAAAGGCCATATGTAACAAACCCATAGCTAACATTATACTCAATACAGAAAAATCGAAAGCTTTTCCTCTAAGATCAAGAAAAAGACAAGGATACCCACTCTCAATCCTCTTACTCAATACATTGCTGGAAGTCCTACTTAGCTACACCATTTAGTCAAGACAAATTAAAGGCATCCAAGCTGAAAAGGAAAAAGTAAAACTGTCATTATTTGTGGATGATTTGATTCTGTATATACAAAATCCCAAAGATTTTACCAAAAAAAAAAAAAAAAAACCTGTCAGAACTTCAGCAAAGTTGCAGGATTTAAAATCAACA